GAACATACCTGTATGTAATCGAGTCGCACCCCGCACCCCGCACCCTACGATATGTAAGAAAGTCGCTGCTCCCAATACACGCCTCGTCTTGCTTTGAGGTTCGGCTAAGTTCGTTAAAGGAAGCTTCGATGTACATTGGATATGGCTTTACTTTATCGAAGCGGAGGTTTACTTAGGAGCTAAAATTGTGGTCGGTCTCGTATTGAGCGAGTATCGGCTGTCTCGAGGGAGGTCTTGTTTGTTCACTATTCCCGTCAGCTTCGGAGACATTTGACTCGACAAAACTCTATTCCATTATGAGTATTTGTGTATGGAATAACTTCACAATACCTCCCTGACGAACACTCGTTCAGCCGAGCGAAACAGACGAATGTGGCCTCTACGCGACGGTGGTACAGCATCATTTGGCTTGAATATCACACAATGGGTAAACTAAATATATGCGCTTAAGCAGACAATAGAAATAATTACCGGGTTTTGGTGACGTGTGTGCTCTGTGCCGCTTGTGACGTTCGTCACTCCAACGATCATTATTATACGATCTGGGAAGACTAAAATATGCCCTCCATACTGTGGAATTAACTCAATAGGAAATATATTCCTTGTGATTGCAAGGAATAGTCGCAGCTGTACATATATTAATATAGAGAAGCTTTTTATTACCGACGGACGAACGTAACGTGCACACCCTCATATAGAATGGTCTAAATTAATTGGGTCTTAGAAATTCATAAATGATGTAAATAAAAAAGTTTGTTTAGTTGTAATGTTTGAGATGAGTATCATTATAATGAACCAATAGTCTAATATTGAACGATCTATTCTTTACTATCAGTGCAGGTGTCCGCGGGCCTGTTGTTTAAGAAAGCTGCTTTCTATCTGATTTCAGCTGTAGGTACATGCTTGTACTGATTCTTTAATTTTAATAACGTTCGCTCCAGTTCACTCGCGAGCTCCAAAAGCAGAACTCGTTCCACAGGAACCCTTTAATAAGTCAACATGTCAAAAATAATGATAATGATCTTTCGATTTTAAGAATTTCGGAACTTTTTAATCATTAAGAAAGGTCTGTCTGAAGTAACCTTATTTCATGGTGTAATATTAAGCGGTTTTTCTTACTTTCTTTCTTGTTACGTAAATATATTTAATTGAGGTTTAATTATACTGTGTTTTCAGAGCGGGTATTTAATGCTCTTATCTCAAGGGAAGTAAGTGACAGTGTTATTAGGTTTCTGTCTCCGAGTGTCCAGGGAGGGAGAGTATTGTGTTGTGTACTCACAGTACTACAAGTACAATCCTCCTAACTATTGTACGTAGGAAACCCTAATCTCGCTATTGTTCAATCAAGCGATGCCGGTCTATTGTGAACCGATCTACGATCTCTACATTGTAATATTCATTTGACTAAACACTTCCAGCCTACTGTGTGTTAGGTTTTTACTTAAGATATTGAAGTCATTTCATATTAAAATTAATTGTAAGACATTGATTTTATTTCTTTTGTTTTGCACTTTGACTATAATATTACCAATAGACTGCCCTTTAGGTAGCAAAAGTTTGTGGTATATTTATTTCGTGCTAAAAAATATACAAAGTAATTAATTGATACTCATGTACTTATAAGAACAGATGGAGAAAGCTGTAATGACAGCCCTCATGGAGGCAATGAGGCGAACAAATAAAAAAGTTAATGTTAAAGTCCACACACACGTATGTAGATTACGGATCGTACCTCGAGGTACTTAGTGCGTACAGGAGGGTGAACAACTTTAATGAACGCCATGTGACTACTAGTTACGACGACCGACGACGAGTTACAATGAATTACGACGAGTATAGCGAACAAACAGACGACCGAATCAGTTTGTGCACATGGATTATGTCAGAGAAAGGAGTAGTTTGTATTAACATTTTTACGAACAAAGCATTGATAAAGCAATAAGCATTGTTAGAACTACTAGTGTATGTTTGTATCATTCATATGTTTTGATTATTATTATATAGACGTATGAGGTCATTTGATCGCAGCTTAGAGGTCCATAAACGATTATCGAGATAAGTTGATAAAAGACCTTTTATAAATCTAGTCTTTTTTTCTATTTCCACATATTATTTGTATCTATAGAAATAGATATACATATATAAAAAATTTAATAAATTTCCACTACACACTACGAGTTGTCAAACCTAAATATGAATCATATCCAATATTGATTTCCTCTACCGAAGTTCAATATTACGACATTTACTATTTGCAGATTCGTCGTGAACCTCGTCCCGGAGCAGGAACTCAACTTTCTCTGACACAAACATTTATACGAAAACAAACAGTTTAGTTTTTAATTATTTAATACTGTAAGCGGCCTCAGTCTCGCTCCTGGAGTACGAGAATCAATCGTTTAAATACTTTGATGATGAAGTATAAACAGAACCATTTCACAGTATCTACAAGTCGGGTCGGATCGTTTATGGCCAGTACTCTAATGCCCTCGCCACACAGGACTCGCGTCCTCTCACACCCGCTAATAAGGTTCATAATTGTCTAAAACATATTTTCACGAAGCACCTCACTTTACACTTCACCGATATTTTAGCGGAGTGTCGTCATCTTTGAACACGCCGTAACACACAAATAACCTTAAAGAGAACGAACCCGAAATATCGTTTACGAAGGCTACGAGACACTTTTATAAAAGAAAATGACTTTTAACATGAGAATGGCTGATGCCGTTGTTACGTTCGTCAGGATCAAAGGTTTGTATGTATGTGTATATGTATGTATATATGTTATTATTCTTTATTTCGGTCGGGGGAACACTAGACAAAATATCAAACCGTTTAGCAACGTTTTGCGAAACAATCATTTATAATGGTTCGCCTTCGAAGTTTAATGACTTGAACGATTAATAACAAGTCGAATTCATTTGAAGGCTTCTCTTAATTCGTCCTGACCTTTCATTATATATTTCTGGTTTTTTGTTAGAATTTTACAATGAAGGACATTTTAAAAGTATTTATTTTGTTAACAATATTTTCGCTTTTGCTTTTGATCAGCTGTGACCTATATCATTTATAACCAAGTAGACATGGTCGTGGCATGGAACATATGTCTTATGATCGATTTCTTTATTTGAAGTACAACAATAATTGAGAAATAATAAACTAATGACATATTTTAATGTCCGTTGATAATACTTTAATATAAACCGGAACATTGTACAGCGGTGCTTAACTCATGAACATAATTAATTTAAGACGAGTTGGAATCTACATTTACATTTTATAATATAACAATAATATATTTTCTATATATCAATCAGCAGAGAACACATCAGATCGTATGTTTCTAATAACATTGAAGTGATTCAATAAATATATTTTCCTTCGTGAGTGATGATAGCTAGTAATGTCATTATAATATTCCAGGTTCCGTACAGCTTAGTTCGTGAGGTATTCAATTAATTATCGTCGGATCTGATCGTTCACAGTATGTGGTTTAATTATATTAAATTGCTAACATTAATTTGTTATTATAATACCAGTGTTGTTATCTATAAACGGCTATGTTTACGAAGAGAGACGAGAGACGGCCGGGGGTTAGTTTGTCTGGATGTGGATTTATTCATTATGTATGTTATGATTATCTAGTATACTGGGACGTATATAAGTATACCATGAGAACACATAGCCCTGTACTATTCATGTATCGTCACTCCAGATTCCTTCGTCTCGTTGTATGTAACAGTATTCTCCGTGTATTTAATAAAAACGACTGAGTCCCGGTGTCCGGTCGCGTGCCGTGATCACAAAAAAATTAATGTCTTTCAATAATACAAAGTCCTTTATTGAATTGTTTGAAGATTTCTTTTAACAACATAATATGCTTTGGTTGTTACAACATTTTATACTTACTTAATTATTATGTTACTCGTACTTATAATAGGTATATAATAAAACATTTTAACGCGTCGTATTACATAATAATATACTGATACCTGTCACCTCAATATTTTATCTCACCAAAGTAATATTCAAAGCAGTTCTTGTCGCTACATTTAGTCTCCTTAAGTTCCTACCGTCTTCTTAAATCCGTAATCAAATATGACAAATATAATCACAGACATCTTCTTTTGAACCGTTGACAGAAAACTTATTTCTTGCCGACAAAAACTTGCTATGCTTGCTATTAGGTTATTATTTATAAAGACATTTTATATTCATCGATCGGCCGAACATTACCTCTAATAAGTTGTTTTAAGTCGTCAATAATAAAAAGGCTTTGATCCGCTCTCATTAAACTGTCGGATATTTAAAAGAGAAACTTAAGACTTTAATGCAGAACCGTTTCTTAAGCGATTTCACGTCAATCACCAAAGATTTATAACCGTGGAATTAAATACGTCATAAAATACTAAACTAATTTAAGATTTAAATAAGCTCAGTTATCTATGAACCGGTATTTGAGGAGTTCTTCATCTACATCACTCGCTCCGAGCACATTCTATGTCTAAGATGTAACATCCATAGCAATATATGTATAGTAAATACTGTACCGATGGACTCGGAGCGTGAATCAATTATATTTTAAATCACAGATGAACTTCGATTTAATCAATGTATAATTTGATATGTAAGTATTAATGTTCAATGTATTATGTGAGGTGATTATAAAATGTACATATATATCTGTTACATAATGTTATCGATGTCTCAATACATCACACAGTACGAGTACGATTCTTTCCGTTTATTTGATGATTTATTTTCACACGGTTACGGAAAGTTATATTTGAAAGTTGCCTAACAACAATTCCAGTATGAATAATTTAGTGAATCGATTTCGACAACCGTCTATGACCAATGGTTCAAGTTCACGAGCTATGTCCGCCGCGCGGCTCCGTCCGTCCGCGGACTGTGACCGTGTTCCGTTAATATCGCCTTGTTAGTTTGTTGTTGTATGTCGTTGTAGTAAAACATTGATCTTGTTATATTTCCCCGTATCAGCGTCCCCCTCCCCCTCCCTCCCTCTCATAGAGACGGCCGTCCGTATCCGGCGTGTTTTTTGTTGGTGACGGATGCGTTCCATATATCTGTGCCACTCGGCTGCTTCCATCGAATGTAAAAACGAGCAGTAGTCGGACACTGGACACTGGCCACTGGCCCGCACACTGGACTCGTTTCATTCCATGGTCCGTATCACTGAGCAGATCACACTCTATTGATAAGGTCCTCGCACTTCTTACGTCGCTAATACAACCATCAGTTGTATATTTTTGTTGTGTTTTAATCATTTCCAGGAACCGCTGTCCGATCCAAATGACCAAAAACTCACGACATGCCATTTAATGGTTCGTCGGAATCCCGCGTTAGTTGTGGAATGATTCCAATGTCTATTGTTCCTGAACCGTTCTGTCCGAAGCCCGCCTCGTGTCAATTAATGATTGGACCCAATTATTAGGGTTGAGGGGTTTTTTCGCGTCAGGTGTCGAGGCCGAAGATGGATTGGTTCTGATGGTCTCTTAACGACCGCCCGTACAATGTAACGGGACACTCTGTTTTTTGTTTATCTTAATTGATCAATATAAAATGACACACGATAGTCTTGTGCTTCGGATCTGGCGCAGAACAAAAAATAAAAACACAACAGAACCCGAGAGAGCGAAACAAGTGTCCGTATTCATTACCGATCATATTTTTTGTCATAATTTGAGTTGCATTGTACCACTTTAGTTTGTATTTTATATATGGATTGTAGTAATTAGTTTGTGTAACAGGTTATTGTATCGTTTGAAAAATTAAACATCTCTTAAAATAATTTACTGCTTTTAGTGATCCTTTAATCAGAAGTTTATAACAGAGTATTAAAATATTTTTAAAGTTAACACTTAGGTCTATATAAAGAAACCAAATATACAAAATGTAAATTCAGACTAGTTTTATATATAGAATGTAATGAGAACGCTTTTACCTACAAGGGTCGGACATATATCTGGATTCGGTTGAAGCATTATCATTTGGCAAATAAATCGATTACCCCGCGTGTTGTCCCTACATAATGGCTCCACAATTACGGACCCGAGAGATAGCATCTATGAATAATGATGCTTGTGGTTTTTCTGGTCTCTGGTACGTTGTTACCGACACAGGTTATGCTATATACGAACGTATTTCAATAGTGATTGGCTTCATATTCGCTCGCCTCCGTAGTAAACTCTCGCGCATCCCCTACTTAGGCATTGTTCAAGTCACCTTTGTCTGGCGAGCTGCACCCGCTGAGCGGACGTGAGAATTTCGCAAATGGTAAAGTATCAGGTTAATACTTATTTATAGACGCGTGCACAAATGAAATACATTTTAAAACATTTTTTGTGCCATAAGTCAGAGTTACTTCATGGAACTGTCACAGTCACTACTTTTATATTTAATATAATCTCGTCTGTTATCTACAAAACTTTTCCAGTTCGTTTAATATTTCAATCCTGTACGTTTGTGTTAAAATCTTGTCCCAGGTTAAAACGATGTGTTATGTTCCTTATTATTTTTTACTTTTGTTAAGAATATGACGACGGCGGAGGCGAGGGTCCCCAGAGAAATATCATAATTAATGAGGTCGAGGACCACTCATGAAACGAAAACACTACATATATGTTTAAAAAAAATATGTTACAAACGTTTCTTTGAATATATAAAGCCGTAATCGTTGTTCCCCTACAGCTGTTTAATACACGAACATGTGTTTTTATTATCAATTAATTATAATAAATCTAATAAACTAACAGAAGCGGATGAAATCCTTTGAAGAGCCCCTCATTAATTAGGATAATTCGCTTATCGTGTTATACGTGTACATGGAATTAATTGTACCTATATATATTAATTGTTATTATGTATATATTAATTAGTTTATTAAGAGTGAAAACTGTAAGGATGTGATGTAGAATGATTTATTATAAGTCTAAATTATATTACATTACGATTAATATTTGTTAATTGACCAAAATTGTTATGAATATAAAAATAAGCCCATGTGGCCGTGGTTTCTGTTTAATGTACCGAGACTTCGAAAGGAAATTATTTTATTATATCAATTTCTAATACATCACTCATTGATTAATATTCATTATTTTAATGAAGGTGTCATCGTGTCTCTCTCATCATCATCATCTCCCTGGTCCTATGCAGCGTCACGTCTTCCCTCAGCCCTCGCTCGCACTCCTCCTCTGAACACGCGACACTCACTAATGAGATTTACTGAACAACACACACACAGACTGTGTCACTCTCCCCGATTATAAACGATTTGAAAGGTGTCTTTATGGAACATGAAAAGATAAAAACATTACTAATGGAAGTTTCCTGATGTAAGAACAGACCAGGACGACTAAACCTTATATACGACTTATTATGATAAAGTCACGAACATTATTTATAGTATGTACTTCAAATCATTTAAGTCTCTTCGAGTAGAGGACGTACATACATATGGTGGCATGTAACAGACTCGTTCATGTATCCTACATCAGTGAACACATTATTCATTCTGTTCAGTTCATTTTAAAATTAGTTTCACACAGGTTTTGATAACATCGGATTAAAGATTCAGAAAGCGGAAACTGAGTCTCACTACAACAATACACGCGTCGTACACTGTACTCGTACACACTGGAGGAAGTTAACAGTTTATTGCGTCTTAACAGACTTCAATTACTCTTTAATTACGTATTTTTAATTATAATTGTAACTGTAACATGTAACGAGGAGGCTCGCTCGCTTATTATAAGATGAAGGAGGGGTCCGGTCGCCATTTCTTTCGCCAAAACGATATTTCCCATTACCGGCGTTCAAGGGCCACCCATACAGTACTTCGATAACTTTAGACCTGACCAGTAAACTAAATTCAACCTACCTACTCACAAATTAAGACATGTTTCAGCTTTCTCCTTGAATTTTATGGATTTCGCTAGAACTTATAGATTATCAGCGACGCCTTCGAAGCAAGCTGTTTGCTTAGGATACAATAAAAAAACCTCTCTGAAATACACGGGAAGTATAGGCCGTAAGGGATAGTCTCTGTGTGTTGGTGTGTTACTGTGTGTGTGGTTGTCTATCTCTGTATATGTGTGTGTGTGGTGAAACATGATCTCTCTAATGGTCCCTGTTATTGACAATCGTCTGTTTCAGAAGTAAACAGTTTAGAAACCACAGTCACGCTTCACTTCATTTTAAGTTGCGGCCCAAGTTTGAGTTGGAAATACAATACGAATTTGATAATGGCTTTCCAAATAACAAAAAATAAACTTAGAAATTAGATATGAAATTATATTAAAAATGACTTCATCACCATTTAAAGAATAGTGACATTAACTCGGCCAGGAACTACTTACACGTTTAAAAATAGTAGACATTGAAACATTATGTTAAGGTTACAAAATGTTAAGAACGATCCTCAGTCCGTTATTCTTATGTTTATTATCGAAACCTTTAACTTAATATCCGTATAACGACTGTTAACGACCTACTGAATAAAGCCTCGCTGTGTGACGTCACAAATGTAAATAGATTTGAACTACAGTTATACTATAGTTATATAAAATCATGTGCATATATCATATTTTCATTCAACTTAAATGAAAATATGATATATGCCTAGGAGATAAAGGGACTTAGGTGTGGAACAAAAAATAATATTAAATGTGTAGCGTCAGTTATATTATATGAAGACTGTTATAAATTAAAAAGATGTATTGCATCAAAAAAAAATAATAAAATTAAATTAAAATATTGACGCTTGTATATGATACAAAATAAATATTATTTATGAATATTCTATAATAAAGTAGGTTTCGGAGTTGAATATAAAAATGAACATCAGAGGTGTGCAGTAGATGAAGTTGATTGTAACAGTTTCAGTAATTATCTGTTATTAAACCGAGCCCCACTCATTATAATTAGGAGTCAGACTAACTGTACCGACCACCGACATGTAAACTATAGGAGTCACAGAGCAGAGAGTGGACGAGCTCTGTAATAGATACTTGATAATTAATGAATTTATTTAGTAGAGATACTAGTCTCATAGCAACATTAACAGGCGACCGACTCCGCCGCATGAACCTGCTGAATGATAAACATCTTGTGACCATGTTAAAACATTCGATTATTATTGATGAATATCATTTCCTACAAGTTTAGTTACATTCAACGAAAATCATATACGTTATTGATTGCTTCATTGAAAAATATATAAATCAGAACGCTACCGAAGTAGAGAGACGTTTCAAATTGTTGTAACCCGACGAATCCTTCACAGGAATTAGTTCTGCATGAGATGTTACAGTAGTAACATAAAAAGTAAACTAATATTCAACCATAATAACTAGGTCAAACAGAAGTTTAATGAAGGTCAAAGGTGTTATAAAAAGTTGAGTCTAAGGAAATGATTCACTGTTAATGAAAATGAAAAGAATTATATGTGAAAGAGCTCAGGAGGAAAATAAAACAAAGATACAAAAACACGTGGACAAGAAGATTTACAAATAATATGATGAATGTTGGAATATATATCAGATAACAAACACCCGCTGGACCTCGACAGAAGAGAGTCATAAGAATATGATAGTACGGGGAGACTTAGAGATAATGTTTAAAAAATATTAACTTAATACTTTCATCACAATAGAAGTAGATCTGTGTTCACAGAGTGTGGTTATTAAGATTATTTTTAATATCCGGACGGTGTTCCGACGGGGAGGTTACTGGAGAGGAATAGAAAATATATTAAAGAGAACGAGCGACGACGAACAAACAGAAAGAAACTTAGACACGACTGGATGTTTGTTGTTATATATGTTACACGAGACACAAATTAATATTAATATATTTAATTTAATATTATTATATAAGTCAACATTTGATTTGTATAAAATTATTTTATATGTAAGAATTGTTAGGCTAATTGTGGGAAGGTCAGAAAGTATTTTTAACCAATTAGATATATTTATATAAGTACGTATCTATACACATACATGTTTCTATGTGTGTGTGTGTGTGTGTGAGAGAGAGAGTCACGCCGCTTGAGATTTAAACTATAAATCAATGAATCGTTTGATACTCGTGATATTCGTGACAGCATCCGCAGCTAATGTTGTTTACGGCTCTCGGTGACGTCACACAGCGCTAGGTATGAACTAATACCACTTTGACGTCGGGACCTGGCGTGAACGTGAACGTGCTATCATATACAGTATGGAAGCAATCTGAGGAATTCTTCACTGTACAGGCTTATCATAGTACATGACACTTAGAGGGTTTAATGTTGTAATAGCAGATATAGATTAGTGTATGAAGACTTTAATTTTGTTATTTAAAAAGAGCTTGTCTTTTAGTTATTTATATCTTTTCAAATCTCGACCTCTTTTTGTGAATCAATTTTTTAAAATCCTGCATCTACAGCTGGTATGTGCAACGTATTTCACCTGATATTATATTAAACGATTTAAGTCACTTAAGGTTACTTTGCAGTTCTGTTCAGGACAAATTTCTGTTTCTGATGAAAATCTTTTGCAAAATATTTTTTCAGGACTACATTAAATGGAATGGTCTCGATATTAAATAAAAACTCATTAGTTAAAAAAGTGTTTATTTGTAATTATTCTCAAAAAGTTATTGTACATTACATACTCGATAAAGTTAGTACATTACTCCCATTGGTCCCGTCTACTCGTTCATCCTGGTTGTGTCAGCCTGTCGTCTCTAGGACGCCAACACACTTATAGTACCCATGAGGTGTCATACAAATAAATATGTACATAATACATGTAACCTGGGCTTGATCAGTTTGAAAACATCTACCTACTTGAAAAGTCACGTGCGAAAATTAAGTCCAAAAAATATATTCACATAAACAAGTTGGAATGTAAACAAGAAAATATAAATTATATAAGAAGTATATTTTCCGTTAATTATTATTTATGAATCCAGTGACACTTATTAAATAATATAAAACAATGATTTCAGTTTAAGCTCGAGTACATTTATATGAAATAGAATCATAGGAACATTTAAAATATACAATCAGAGGGTCTCCGGGCAACGGATAGGTTTAACATCAGCATTGCTGTTTACAAAATAATTGTAATTTGTATGATATGAATACAAAACATATATGCGTAAGTACTTTTCAACATGGTTGTCTTTAAAATTGTTTTTAAGAAGGTCACCATATTAAATGTGATGACAAAATAATTTTGTTATTTTCGCTGTTGATTCAGATTAGGTATGTCAAATATAAATAAAAGTAAATAAATAGAAGTCTCATTGTAATGTGCGGGTGAGTCACTTGAAACACTTAGCACTTAGTAATCTAATAATATCAATAAATGCCTAAGTACTCATATTTATACAAAGCCAAACAACTGAAACTCCTATAAGTATGTATTGTATTCTGTCCTAAGATTTCTGTATCTAAACAGATACATGAAACCACCACCTGGAAGAAAAAAGTTTCTTCTAGTCAATACAAGTTTCATTACAAAAATATTAAATAGAATTCTGATGATATAATAATGGACAAAATATTTCCACAAAAATATACCACTACAAGTTGCTGTGTTATTATTAAATGAGAGGATGCAGAAGATTATTATAAATTAAATCACATCGTTGTTGAAACTAACAACGAATTCTAATAAACACTTCACCTGTTTGAAATTTATTATTTGTATTAAAATAATATAATTACATTTATAATTATGTCAGTGGTGGCCTAGTGGTTAAAGGGCCCGTCTCTTGTTGCCGAGGGCGCCGGTTCGATCCTGACCCGGTCAAGTACCAATGTGAATTTTAGGAGTCATATATAGTTACTAAGAGTATTTAGACACCACTGATAGACGCTGAAGGAAAACATGGTGAGTAAACCTGGACTCCTAATTTCACAATTATAAGTTTGAAATCACCAACCCTTCTTGAGCAAGCGTGGTGATTAATGCTTAAACCTTCTCCATGTGAGAAAGAGGCCTTTGCTCAGCAGTGGGCTCTGATAGGCTAAAAAAAATGACATTTCGAAAAAACATGAAAAGTGCATTGAATTTGGTGCTATTAATATTAACAATTATAATATGCTGGTCTAAGTACTAGAAAGAACTGTTTCATTAAATTTAACTTTGAATAAAAAGTCCAGTAGAAGAAATATCCTTATACTTTGTAATATAAATTAATTTTCACATTACACAAAGACCAATGTAGAAATAACAACTACTTAGATACTGTTTGGCGATGTTTATAATAATATTAGTTCTAATGTTTACTTCTCAAACTTTATATTCAAGTTCTGGTAGACAGTTAATTAACATCAATATTACTCTCGGTTTCTTCTAGAGAATGTTCACCTTTCACCTTCTGGTGAATCAATATTTTTTTTAATAAGTTTAATGAGGTTACAGGAGATATACTAAACAGTTTAGACCTGGTGAATATAAATACCCTGACTTGATTTACTTCTCTTATATAGTGACTATATATAACTATAAAAAATAACGTCTGTTTATTTTTTGGTCGTTTCTCGTCATCTCTGGTGGCTGCTGTTCATCGAGCCAATGAAAGTTTCCTCTTGAACTGCATTCACCTCCTAGAATATAATCAATGTCATAATCATAACTGCTCTTAATTTATATACCTATTAGTTGAATAAATCATATTTGTATTAGAGTATATGTGAACAGCCGTCCCGCGTCCGTCCTGTAAGCCGCGATAATAAATCAAACTAATTCGACCATCACACACGATGTATGTACGTCATTCCCACATATTATTATACACGAGAACACAAACTGTTCAACTCAAGTAATCAGTATACAATGTACAGTATAAAGTACAGCTGAGACTCCTCGTATTGTATGAGTATTGTTCCGCGGCTGAGACACATTCACCGACATTCATTCATGTGTAATATAAAAAGCGTTATAATGAACAATTAACCAATCGCATATCGACGAGTCGATTAGAGTTTTTGTTCGCACACTACGCCCAGACCTACTTATGGCCGATGAAGGACTCTGAACCCTATTCCGTGTCGATTTAGATTCACAATGCGATGTACGGGAGAAGGTAAATGTTCCGTGTGGTCTCCGGCCGGCGTCATGACTGTACAGACCGGAGCAGTTCCCGGCAACCTGATGGCTATCTCCGCTCGCAGCATCTCTTATCTCGGAATACTTTATTGTATTGGAGGGAACAGTCTTAGTTTATGTTCTCTTTACAATCTCCCTTCTGTTTCGAACGACTCTCGCAACAGTAATCATAAAAACCTATGGTGTGGAAGTAATCGGCCGTCGATTTAACCGAGTAGACTTATTGTTCAAGGAGGGTCACATACAGAGTAGGCGACTCTTCTCGTCGTGGTGATAAGGCTACTCTCTTTGTTTCTTGTAACCGGTTCTATCAGTTCAGCTGGTTGTTAGTGTCTGTAACTCATGTATCCGTCAGTTCTACATGTCGTGACGCGTGTATGTTATCGCTACATATGATGGTAGTATCACGTCATGTGTGAAATGTTTAATATGTTATTGAAGGTGAGTCTCTCCTCTCTCTCCTCCCTCGTACGTGTCGGACGTCGAATGCAATTAGTTTCCAATTAGCGATTATTTCTTAACCGAATCGACACAATCGTATCGTTTATATTCTTCACCCGCGTACCCGCCACGATGTATTCGCCTAACAACCGTTTGAATTTAAATAATTTGAAAACAATGTTAATATCTGTTGAATACCAGCTCGTTACATTAACTCGAGGCGAGTGTGTTCAGTGTTGTGTGCGGGTCGTGTGTCGTATACAGGGTGTCACTAAGCTGTATCGACACACGATCTGTTCAGAACTAATCATGAATGTTCTAGTTTACTCCGAGTCACTAAAGTTTCCCGTGAGTCCTCCCAGCCCGGGACTCTCTGTAGTGTGAGTCGTTTCAAATACTGTTCAATGTTCTGTTGTCGTCGGGTCGCGTCTCATCAATCATTATCGCGTCGAACACAAGCTCCCATAGTAATGTTATTCAGTAACGGCGTTACTTTTATTTTTAATATATTTCCTGTAACAACACTCCACCCACATCCGTCCTCGACGTCGACCATTCTACTGCTTTAATACATTATTAATGATTTAATAAGGTCTCGTCGAATAAAACAACAGCACTTTTATATGACGAGATGTCTTCGTGTCACAGGCGAGTTTGTTTATCGAGCGAGGTAGTATGTATCATAATATGTATGTATGTCGCCGCTCGTTGTTATCACATAAACTACAATAGTGCAGTATATTGTTGATTGAACTCACTTAACGTAATTCGTGTTCGGAACCGATCGATATATTTCAGTATCCATTGACACTTCTTGATTAATAGTGACGTCAGCGAGTGTGTGTTGTCAGCTGCCCGCGATAAATCTGATACCGCGAGGGAGCGACGCAATGTGCACCGTATTGTATGTACAGTAAATTCAATATCGCGCGATCGTCGTCTGTTTCGGATGTTCAGCGTGTTGTAGATAATATCTGTCGTGGAGCCGGGCTCGTGGCGTGTGGAGCGAATGCGGCGTGACTGAACATTAGCGACGGAGCAACGGACTTTGAAGGATAAAGAAAGTACAGACGCGGGTTTATATTCACTATAAGAAACACAAGCGAATAAAGGAATTAAATACTAGAGGAGTTATGAGAGGAGCCTCGGGGACCGTCGACGGTAGCATCAGTTGGAGCTGGGAGCACCGGCTCGTGTCTAGGACTATGTATATACCCGTATATACCTGTATCTAGTGTGTAAGAGGGTCTCGCTGTGGTCTGTAATACAACCTGAGCGTGTGCAAGTTTCCCAACTTATATTACAGACGCTACAAAATCAAGAACAGGAGTTTTCTGTAGCTATTATATCATACGGTCAAAACTGAACTTTATATGGTTACGATTAGGTCGAATTTCTCCTGTTCACTGTCGAGAGCAAAACTTTGACTCAAACGATATCGAGTCTACCTTAATAGCAATAAGGTCGCTTTCAGGTTGTGTCAGATTTGCATCGCCGGATATCCCGCAGATGTTCTAAGTATTGAGAAACATGAATTACTAGTTAAATGTAAAAGATGCCGTGTGTCTGTCACACTGTAATGTACTCACAGTGGTATGGAAGGGGGGGGGGACCAGTGGGTCAGAAAGATTGACATAAAAATAATACTTTAGTAATAATGATTGTCACTGAAAACTGCGCGGAGTGGATTCCAACTACTGTGAATGTATTCCCTAACAATGATCTAGATTCTAGTGTGTGTGTGAGTTAATCTCGTTTGATAGTGTGGGGGTGAAGGCCGTAAGACGGACGGACGCTCCCAGCTTCATATGGCTTTCATAAAACTATTACAATGAAGCCTTACAGCGGACGTGTGTCTAACTCTATATAACATACTGCGTGCAACACAACACGAGGCCGGCACATGGAGTAGCTAGTCACTCCTCGACCGGACCAATATTATAGCTTCATTTTCATTACACAGTATGTGCCCCGGGTCCCTGTCCGTGTACTCGCTCACTGTGTCATATAGGACTGACTTTACTCACTCACATCGCAAAAAACTTAATGTTTCTTGTAATATCCTGATAGTTAATCCACATATTGTTTAACATCTGGTATACGACCGTCATTTACACACAACTTTAAACCTTAAGCGTTACAAAATAAGGTATGTTTTATTCTGTGGCCTCTAACAGAGATAGCTCCGATCCTTAAAATTATGTCTGTTAGTTAGCTGAAAATGTTCAGTGACCGTGACCGAGAGACGAGATGCGAGAGGAGAGGAGAGGAGAGGAGGAGGGGTTACGGGGAAAGGGAGGACGAGGTCTAAAGGTTGTACGTGTAGTGAAGACTATTTATTTATTGTGAGGTCTTAGAGGGGCGGTCATACGCATCAAGAACAAGTAATTGATCCATCAAACCACTGTATATAATAAGAAAAAAAAATAAAAAAGATGAATACTCGGTCTTGAGTCTTATGTTTGTCCTAGTTCGTAGCCTCATGAAACTCGTCTCGTAGCGACATTAAGTCCAGTCGATCGTGTCAGTCCTTCATATATGTTATATCTAATACATTAGAACACAATATTATATGTATATAACACATGTACACGTATGTACTAACGCTCCGTCTGTCCGTCACCGCCGCTCGTCTTCCAAGTCTCGTTAATTTCTATTCCTAGTTTCTTTAGAGTTTTTTTCGTCGCTCGTTCCGCCTCGTCGTTGCTATTTACCGAGTTCCTGATACGAATATTGAGTACTATTAATGTTAACGACTGTGGCCACTGTGACATATGTACCGTGGAGTGAAAGCTGTCGTCTTTAAAGGTAAGGGAATGTGAACCAATCAATAGTATTTCATAGTGTGTAGTGCGGCCGGGTCTCGCTGGAGCCCGTGACGTCTCCGTCCAGCCCGCGGCCGGCCCGCACTCCGCTGTCAACTCTTGGGATACAAAAAGTACCGATCGCATACAATTTATTTTTTATTGTCGTCGCGAGAAATGTACTTGTAGTTCGTTAATGTAACTTAATTGGCAATTCGAGCGCGGAGTCACGCCTCGCCGTGGTCGTCGCTCGTCAGCAGTCGTACAGTGCTGCGGGTTAATTTAAACCTTATTTCGCGGAGTTAAGGATGCCGCGGGATGCACAGGGCTCGCTATCAGTAATGGCTTCCTCAATAAACGACGGCCGTCACGAGCCAGTGACAACAGACTGCGGTTTCGGTTCATCGTGACGGCATTTCAGAAAACGGCTCACTACTAGGACATTAATGAAATACTACATTACAAAATAGTAATTAGGCGGAAGAGGTGATCGACGTAATTAAATTCGCTTTAAGCGACACCGGTTCATCTACTTATATGAAAAGTAAATAGGGCATGATGAAATTAAGTACATGTAATTAATGTAGCGGCTTAAACAGACGAAGAGAAAGAGGGGGGGGGGAGGAGGTAGCCATTACATTCATAGCATTTTTATTAACGTTAATAAGAAATAGATAATACCACATCCAGTACGTCCAGAGCATTGTACTCATCTCTGTATAGTTATGTGTCACACGATATCTCATAAATTGCATTTTGTCTCTATTATGTTAGCCTGTTTATCGACAACTGATTTTAAGAACGGCCTACATCTTAGAATTATGTCTTAGATTATAGCGAGACTGTCACTGTTAAGAGTCTCATTATTATATTTAACACAACAGTCGAAACCTTTAACAAATATCGTAAGGATGTTGTATAGTAGAGGTGGTGTAGAGGTGTGTATCTGAGCGGTGTTGTAATGAACAAGAATCTCAGTAACCATTCCTCGTCGATTCATTCCGGCCGGGTTCATAAATACAACATTAGTGGTGGTCGCGGCGCTTCGAATATATTGTTTGATATATTTCATAAACAGAGTCCTCGCATTCATAAGGTATCGAGCAACGAGTTCAACAATTTAAAAGACTGTATTACATACATGTATTTAATGTCATTTTTCTTCGTCAAGAGAGGTCGGTATCTCTTGTTTTCTATACATACTAGTTGTGTCGAAGTAGCCTCGGTTGTTCCAGGAGTACTCTCTCTGACCCCCCCCCCTCCCTCCGTCCCTCCCCCCTCTCGACTGTTATCGGTCACTGATCGCTTATCAACCGCTATGTAAATGTGAGATGCTTATTTGTACAATTACTCAATTCTCCGTACGATTTCACTGTGCCTATTAAAGGCGGTAGTTGTTCTCACGTTTAAGAAATTCTTAAAACGTCACCGAGACGAACTCAATAAAAAGTAAACAATCTGTTGTATGTTGATTGGCTGAGTGTTATAACTGTAGTAAATATTGTTTAACTTTTATTAATAGATTTTTCTTGATAATTGTGCATCTTATAATACACAATATTTCTATTCCGTGATAGCTTCGCCTATAAAAGCAACATGGAGTCGTGGGCGAAGCCGCGTGCGAGAGCTGTTTCGATAGAGCAAAAAGAGAAACACAAATAAAGATGATAAGCCGGGTTCCGTACTGGGTATGGCGGATATAAACACACACACACATACACACACACACACACACACACACACACACATAAAGATACGAGTTTCTGTTCATCTTCCATGAATGTTTAACAAACAGGTAAAGCGTTTTAAAGACACTTAGCAGAACAAATATGGATTTAGTATTTCGTCACCTCAATACGACTATAATACTTAGACTTGTAATTTGCTGGAAAGAATATTATCTTAAAAGAAATCGTAGAGGTATTAGAGAGTACGAAGACGACGCTGTCATGTATATTCAATGATTTTATCTGAGAGTAAGTTAGGAAGTATAAAACATGAACTGTAATTATTACAGCACATCACGGAGCCAAGTTCAGCACAGTAACACGAGCTCGCCAAATGATCTGCTGTTAAACCCTAGCAGCCTTTGGGTACTGAGGCCATAGTTTTCGTTTTATCGCCGCCGCCGCCCACTGACGTCACTCGCAGCCCAAAAAACAAAACACGTTAGGATAAAACACAGTCCGGAGTACGCCCACAAGACACAACAACCCACCACACTCACAGACTGTATAAGGTCAACCTTTACTATAATACTGTATAAACTATTCATGACATCTGTATTGTTAAACATATTATTATTATCATCAAACATTTTGCTTTTCTTTTTGTTGAAAACCGTTAATTATAATTAATGTTTATAACCGAAACATTCCTAGTACAAAGTACATTAACATAATTATTATTCTGACTTAAAAGATCTTTCGATTTGTCATTTTCAACATAGTCAGTGAGTGTTTAGTTCAAACCTTCGTATTATTATGTCTTAGTAACGTTGTTATAATATATCTCATGTTGTAATGTTTTCTTCACAATGTCATTATTAAGTCACCTTACATCACTCGACCACGATCTATCAGTTATTCTCTCCACCGGTCGCTCGAGTCACCCTCTCTCTTGTACTATTTTCCTCCGACCTCTGTTCAGTGAATTCAAATAAGGGATTATTTAATCGAAGCCTCTAAATTTGGATACAAGTCACGGATCGTTCCAGCTCGGCGTGGATTGGGATTTAGGGTCATCGAATTATATGAGATGTGACAGCGGACGGCGGGCGTCGTGTTAGGAGGAGGAGCCGCGGGATTAGGAGATAGCATTGAATGATATAGAGGGGCTCACCACCCGCCGAGGTCTGCGGCCCTTACACACGGACACGTTACACGAGCCTCGTAACCGGATCCCGAGCACATTTTCACTAGACCGAGCTTATCTGATTATCGACAAGACATTAAACGTCCGCCGATTTATAACGACCTCACCACGCGGACCACGTCGAGGAGCGTCACGCGACACACGGCATTACAATATATACGTGTTCGATATACTTGAACAATTGTCAGTCTAAATATTGTAATTGTACTTTTTCAGATTCTTTAAATTACCAAAGTACGTCAAATGTTTTGTTATAAAAGGTTTGTAGTAGTCAATGGTTCATGTCCGTACAGCAGCTTCGCAACATAAATCTTTCCAATCAAATAATATATAAATAACATCTAAGAAGCCGGGGCAATAAACATTTAACTAAGCGTGTAATATAATCCGTCATTCAAATGTACAGATCCATTATTGTGGAACGAATGCGCCGCAAACCAGCTCGCAAGCGGAGACTCGACATGAAGTCCGGAGCGAGCCACCGAAGGATTCCATGGAACTTGATTTATAGATAGATCGAACAGAGAGAGAGAGAAAACTGATTCCTGTGGAGACGAGCGGTAAGGAGCGGACTCAGCTGTGGAGACGGAAACAGACGTCTGGATGAATAAACTATGACGCGAGTTACAGGCGAAGACCCAGGCTGGCGGGAGACGAGCGGAATAATGGTCGAACTGAAATAACGACGAGACTTCATTTGTAGGCGGAGTGAGTGGTAGGCGAGTTGTATACATACAGAATTTGATGCAGTTTTCTCTTTTTTATTTGTTCTCATTACATTAAACACGTTAACGGAAAGAGGAATTACAATGTGTTAAATATAAACATGGACGTGACCGGTCCAGTTACTATTAACATATTCGATAAATCCGTTACAATACTTATACAATATACAGTCCGCCGTCGGTGAACGCTCCGGGAGATCCTCTAAAGTCTAAGCCATTCTGTATTTCGTTACATTAACAAACAAACGTTGTGTTCATAATCGTTAATTGCCTGAACGTTAATCACACACAACATCTCCGTACCGTATCACATGAATATGAACTCTTCTTACAACTATATTTGAACCCTGAAGATACTCTTAATACACGAACATATAAATAGAAAAAACCTTAACGTTGCAAAATAACTAAAAATAGCCCGGGATAATAGGTTCAGAGAAACATTACCTTCCGTTCCCCCCTGGCGTCATATCTCCGTCTCTCGTTTTGTCACACTCAGATCAGAATGTTTAAATTATTTGTAACAGTATGTGTAGGTTCCATCATCTTCGCTGGCCCTTTATTCAATATTTACGAATTGGAAATGAGCTTCTCGACCACAACACGCAACAGATGGAAACTTTATACATTACACTTTAATGGTCTCTCATAGTGCACGTGACACTATGAACTATAACATTATACGATGTAATCTACTCTATCCTTTATAGATTTAATTTTAATATATAACTCAACGGTCATCATCAGCGTGTAGTGCTCTAGGTATGTAATAATAATTCCTGTTCTACTTCAATCGTTCACAACACCCCTACTGATACAATATAGACGCCACGGATCCCGGCGAGACTGAACAAGTTTCCTCCTTTGAATGGAGCCAGTCTGTGATAAGCACACACCCTCCCCCTCCCCCCGCTCCAGACCACCCCCACACCCTCACGCTTGCGTTCTCCTGATAACAATGAACGTTCTCCGTCGTCACGTGGAAAGTTTTTTCATTGAAAAATTGTCAGCCTCCTGTAGGACGAACAGGATGATAAGTAATGTGATAATAATCTTAATACTATTTCAATATACAATAAGAATCCCGGGCCGCAGTGTATAGTCAATGTACATATAGCCCAACTGCACAGCCATGACATGTAAGGCGGGAGACGTGTCCGTGTGAGTGGCTCCAGGCTCCAGGCTCGTATATTACTGTATGGGACGCTCGGAGCTCAGCGTGCGATCTGTGGAACAAAAAATATTACCGAAATAACGAATCCTGTGCCGGCGTTCGTCCTTAAGTGGCTCGTTCCAGTTTTGGTTCGCGTGACCTAAATTAACGTTGCAGTGAGAGTGGAATTAACTCTCGGCTTAGAGAATGTTAGTCTTCCGTTCAAGGTGAATACAAAATATATATATTTTTAAAATTACACACTGTGAATTTGACATCCAGAGGATTTTGGAATATTATTTTCATTTTTTTCTTCACTGTATATGTAATTGCGGGGTTTGCTTTGAAGCTCAATCACTATCTGTAACTGAAATATTCAGATTTTCACCATCAGAACGCTCGTGTATACTGTCACTAACAAGCATGAAATATTGATTTCTTTCTATATTTTAAGTACTTAAGAAAAGTGTAGTATATTTTAAATATGGTTAAAGAGGCTCTGACTTTAGGTAATTCAAGTTTATGTCTGTTTCTTAAGTTATGCTTATTTGATTTTTGTGTAAATGTTATGTTTGAATGAATACTTTTACATAGTATCTTCTTAATTAAAATACATGTGTTATAAATATATGTTTGATTTAGGTTGAATAATTTTGATTTTTTGTATAGTTCTATCGACGGTGTAAAAAGTCATAGTGAAAAAGTACTTTTATAATTTTAAATTTTAAAAATAACATTTGCTTTATAGTTCCTCAACTTACGTAACCTGTTTTAGTAAGCGAAAACAAAACAAAACGGACACAGCGTGGAAAATAATGTACTGTTTTGATGATGAGCCTGAAGTGTGTTCATACACACGGACATACAGACATACAGACGCACATCATAGTATAATATGTATGGAGGTCAATAGTATTGATGATATTGTGATCTGCCACAGAACTAGCGCGCCATGAGAAGCTGACACACATGAATTACAAAAACACAAGCTGGACATGGACACAAACAAACAAAGACCAATACATACAGAATATATGTATATATATATATACAGATGGAAGATTGTGAGGAGAACGATAAATATTAATAGTTACAAGGGAAATGAAGAATACACTCCATCGATAAGGTGCTGACTCTGAACAGACGCGACATTTATTATTCTAAAGGAACACTCCGACGTCAAAGTTAACTTCTTTATTGAATTAAATGCCTCCGTCGGTAACAGGACAGATCGGGTGAGGTGAAGCGCCCCTTCATCTTAATACGGTTACTATTTTGGATTTTGCTCGCGTAATTCTAAAATAAAAGAATACATTTAACCGAGATAATAGTATATATAATGAAAAGTACCAATTGAAAATCTATATGAAGATGGTTGTAAAGACAAATGTTATAATATATAATAATTCGTAAGTCACAAACATGTTAATCGCTAGCCGCGTCTGCGTCCCGCCAACGGGAAGGAAGTGTTCACAGTAGTGAGAGCGAGCGAGTCGAATGTCACTCTACTACACACTAATTGCCAGGAAGTCTGAACTCCGATATTATTTAAAACAATAATAATGTCATTAAGTTGTTTTTGTCTGCGGTTTGACAACAACAGAAGCTGACTGATAAGATTATGCTCTAATTAGGAAACGGGCCACGACACCGACACGATTATCATGAGTACACGTTAGAGAAAAAATACTAAGTTCTAGATTCAGTTCTGAATGAAAGAAAAATCTACGCGAGGTTGTCCTCAATAAGACTAGTAGCTGGACGCTGTCTCTCAGATAATAATGTTATTATATCCAGTTGTTATAATTGTTTATATATCCGACACAAGCCGGGACAGCTCCCGCAAACTCAGACGATGTTTGCTTTTCGTTCCTCGCTGATTATCGATGACTGAGTTAGTCCACATCCCGTGTGTTTGTCTAAACAATACATTATAATTATATTACTCGACGTCTGTGTGTCGTGCTGTCTGTGTTATCGTTATACATATTATGTTTGAGTGTAAACATCTTCAACTCGTTCTGCGGTGGTGAGACGATGAGAGCCGTTCTGCGGGTGTATGGAAAGGGTTGTACTTAAAGTGACGCGGTGAAGGTAGCGCTTATGAAGAAAATCTCACAGAACAGGGTCTTAAACACTTGACATGTTTGGTTCTTATATTGAAAAGATATTAAATTTACACAGAGACAATAAAATACAGTTGTATATGTTAACGTGACGTACACATTATAATATTAAATACATTAAAATATATACATCTAAGAGGCCGTAGTGTAAGTCTGTGTATAATCCTCGGCCGCGAATCAGCGATGCAGCCTGAGGTCGAGCGTGTTACGAGAATATCTTTGAAATATTAATCTGGTTAAAAAAATCTTTACCGCTTTTATAATAGAAGGTTACGATGTGCCTACACTATTAATAAGTTAATAGGTTTGCTAGGTTTGCATGTGTGTGAGTGTGTGTGTATGTGTTACTGTGTGTGTGTGTGTGTGTGTGTGTGTGTTGGTTAAACCTTATATTTTTTTTTATTGTACCATGTTATTGTAACTTACTTTATTTATGTAATGTTATCGTCTATAACATATGTTCTGTGTCTGTTGTCGTCAACTGGTCCGTGATCACACACGATACGACACGACATAAAACTATTGTTATTATAATAAAGAACATGAACATAAACAAATAATATACTCGTGTTACACAGAACAAGAGTCGACCAGAAGGTTGATGATGTTTAAATATGTAGGCCTACTACAGATGATACATCCAACAACCAATTAGAGAAATAATAAACGAATCAATAGACGACATTATTTTTATTTTATTTTATTTTTTTATTTTTATTTTTTTTGGGAAACAAACAGTATTAAAAAAAATCAATCAAATAAAACATATAAAAGTACTCAAACCAAAAAGCTTCCACCAATTACAATTTCATTTGGAGCACAAAACAATAATAATAATAATAACAAATTCATATCAATTTATAATTAAACAGCGTCGTCCTCATTAGATCTCATTACAGGAGGCTGGAGATGACTCGTGAACAAATGTTACTTGGTGTAAAGAACACGGTACGGCTTACTGTCTCTCAACGTGACACACACTGACACCTTCAACACACAACAATCTGTACTGGAGTCTGGAGGGTCGCTGTGATATATGTAGGTATTTATATCGTATTTTATATTTATCTGTCATCAAACAATAATTAGAAATAAAGCATTTGATGAATGAGAACACATTAAAGTGTCTCTATACGGTAGTACTCTGTGGCAGAGAGCTCATTACGTGGGGTATGATGTTAGTGTAGGAGACTTGTTGTGTACAATGAAATATTTTATAATTTAATTTATTACATAACTTTAATTATTTTATAATTTTATTTATTACATAATTCAATCGATATAAGAATTAATTAATAACTAATCTCTGAATGTCGACTTTATTCAACAATGTATTAAATTCAAAAGTTAATATTATAACAGATTCATATAAATATTTATATTTTATATACAGACTTCTTTTCTAATGTCGTAATATATATACATATGTATGTAAAGTCAGCGACACTCAAGACGCCTCGCACGAGTGAACCATCGATGTTCCATTAGTTCCCGTGACCCGGTCCGGGGGGTCCGCGCCCTCCACCGAGCTCCACCACAGGAACCATAGTATCGCGTCGATCTATATACATAGCTCCTCACACGAGGCCCTCCTCCCGAGCTCGTGCTGCGAGGCGAGCGATGTACTCCTCCCCATCCTGTCACACACGCTACGAGGTTACTGACCTACTGCTTATATAGCTCGTGCATTACTGTGCACGTTCGCCTCGATAGAAACTTAGTACATCGACGGTTCGCAAAACATGTCGCAGGTAACGAACCGAAGTAGGACAGCGTTGGATGACGTGCACACGGGGGGAGATATTGTATACGTATAGACACGTGGTGGAGGGGTGGAGGAGACGGCTTCCGGCCCCTGAGCGAGCACAGGAAGGGAATAGAAGCTGTGTACACAGACACGGGCACGAGCACTGACACTAGCGGCAGAGAGACATGTGTGTGACAGACTAACACGCCCGGGCCCGGCTGACTCTCATGACGTTTGAAATGAGTCCCCGAGGAGTAGGAGGACCCTCGACCAGAGAGAATTGAATCTGGAGCAGTTAGAACATCCTCCGCGTGCGATCATCCGCCGGGAACATGTTTATGATGAATGTTGAATAATGTGTGGACCTGAATCACTCCAACATAACACTCAACATTAGTTACTCAACAGCGACTAATGTTTCCTCATCAAAGCGATGTTTTCTATATGCTAATCAGTTACTAAATTAATATATGAATATTCAGAGTTATGCGTTAAGTATAGTTTGTGTATCGGCTGTCTTTATGTTTCCGTTCATCTTTCAGACTTAAATGATAGTTCCTAGTTTTAGTTGCCTCATATATAATGAGCTCCTACGAGTATAAAACAAAACACACACACTCGTAATAATAAACATATAACTAAACGACAGATGACACAAACAGACTGGGCATGTTTAAAACTAGTTCAACATGTCACTACTTAAATTTTAAAACCCTAAGTTGATGTTGACGTGAAACCTGTACGCGTGTGTGTGTGTGTGTGAGTGTGTGCTTTTGAGTCATATCTTGCAACTGAATTTTAAAGCAGTTATCTTCGATCGATTTGTATGACAATGCAAAGCCAGTTCGGTGACGTCACTCTAAATCTAATATGGCGGATGACCCAAAATACCAGTAACACTAGACTAGATATTAGTTTGTGCTCTTCAATACAAATCATTTACAACGACTCAGCAATTGATGACTAGATAACGCAATATTAAAAATAAACGTTTATTAAATATCGTAAAAGAGGTAAAATACACCAACTTTATCTCAAATAATTGCTATAAGTACGTACATTAGATCACAAATTGTACATGATAGAAAGGTTGCAAGAGAGACACGTGATTTAGACACATGTGTTAATATAAAAGAAAAACAGTTCGTCTGTGGCTTTCATTTCATCTAATATTTATTTTCTCATCTTTAAAAGCATTTCGCGATAGTGTATAATGACTGTTTTGTCTAATTTGGGTGTTGTTTATAAATGTAACGAGTTCCTGCCGACTGGCGTCCAAACACATGAATGTTCAATATAGTTTGGTCCGTGTTAAATAAATAACAAATGAGTGTCTAAATCAGTGGCGTGGCGTGACGTGACGTGGCGTGGCGTGGCGTGGCGTCCTTAAGGCGGCCAGCGACTGAGAACTTCTAAAAACGTTGATAATGAACGAATAGAGAAGGTACTCATTACTAAAGAGTTACTCAAAGTTCTCTTTAGAGAACCAATATAGGATCGTAACGTATAAAGCCGAGACGCCTACCGTACTCCACTTACAATAAGGTTAATGATCTTAACACTGGTACGGGTTCACTGTAATCACACAGGGACGGTTTAATGTGTTACAGCTTATACATCTACGTATATGTTAGTACGCGAACTCATTCCCGTGTTATATAATAGATGCGGAGACAGGCGCAGCGGGTGACACGCACATGACTGGGACGGGACTTTCGACACCTCATTCATCACGTGGCTTCTCCTGGCTGCTTGATAACACACGCATACACACACACACACACATACACACACACACACACACACACACACACACACAGTCTCACGCACACGTACACGTACACGGAACCACAAGCATGTCGCTCTCAGATTACAAGATGAATAATGCAAAAAAAAACATGAAGCTCGAATACATTGTTATTCTAGAAACTTATTTCGTCACTGGCCCCGGTGAATTCACACTCACAAAAGTATCTTTTTTTGATATGAGTCGAAAGTCGAACGGCATCTGATGATAACGAATCAACTCGCCCTGAATCTCAAGAGCTGTCCCGTCATCTCGTGTTATCTCCCCCTATCTCTATCTCTATAACGTCTCTCATTTCCATTCTTTCCTCGTCTCTCCCCTCCAGGATGTCATCTCCCGCACGCAACAGTATTATCGTTCTCGTGTGTCCAGCCGCGCCTGTAATGAGTTCTGTACCTAATAGTTCTCAATACCGAGGGGTTCTACGCCGCCACTTTTATTAATGTGAAGTGTTGTCTCCATCTCTCTCGGACTGCGGACTGATGCAGCACGAGGCGTGGCAGCGTGAGGGAATGCTGTTGGAACTCAACTCACGATATAACAAATAACCTAAAGCGACTTAGGTTCGACGAACTGCCGCCACAGGGCGCGGATGTTATCTACGATGGTACAATAAACGATGCATTTTGAACTATCATTCAATATGATACACAGAGATCTCGAAGTCAGTAGGATTAATTTGGAAAGTACCACTTTTAAGACACGGATACTGAACTGAAAATTGAAAATCTGTACCCCGAAGCTTATTGAAAGGCTTCTTAATAATTTGCATTACATAAAGTGAATTAAATCGATGCCGATTCTTTTCCCTGTCGTCTCGCCGAGCCGTTCCTCGTGAGTCGCTACATTTCTGTGTAGGTCATGTCCCGGCTCCCCACTCGCTGGAGGCGCCCTATCAAAGCAACTTCATTACGTTTCCATTTTCTTTGAGTCGCCGCCGCCCGCGGAGACGTGCCCGACGCTAAGCAATTTCCACTCACATGTACAGCGAGCACTCAGGGCTGACGATACGTTGTAATTATCGTTCATTATTATAGATTACATTTTATTATAAAATATTTATTAAATCTAAGCGGTCCCTTGTATACATTTATAAAAATTAGGAGGATTTGAATTATGTAATAAAGTATGAAGCCACATATGTACGTGCCTCAAATAAAAACAGTCAGGGACGGACTCGTTTCTAGGAACATTATATGTAGTAATAAAAAGTTTATTTAAAAGTTTTTGTTCAAATACCTTTGATAGTTATAAAGGTCACAGGCGGAAGTAGTTCCAACCCTAGCGACATACAACTCTGGTTGGTAATTTGAAATAGACTCGATCGGCCATCGCGATAAAGAATTGTCGAGACCTGCCGCACGAATCAGTGTTCTATGTGAACGACGGAACGGCGACTCTGGCTTGCACCGCCGTCCCAATATTATACCCTAAGTGGGAGTGATAAGAGCAATTTGTCTTGCGCTATTAGGGGCGGTATCGAAGGTAACGTCTGCACAGAGCGCACTAGGAACACCTCGCCGAGGACGTACAGGCAGCAGGGATTACATAGTTCAATGTGGTTATAAGAAGCGACCTCACCCAATGGCAAAAACTAAAACATATTTTTAAAGTACTTATCTGCCAAGTTCAATACTTTGAAATTGAATCTTAATCCCTCCCGGGAGGAGGAGGAGGAGGGAGTGGGAGCGGGAGCGGGAGGAGACGTGCCGCCGAAGTGTTTATTGTTTGTTCCGTCCAATCCTGGAGGCGCTCCTCACTTGTCGCGGCTTCACTGCTTGTTGTATGAACGTCATTCACAATAACGAACACCATTACATCAAAAGTGTTTATGACCTTATCGATCCCCCGTCTCCCCTTGTCCCGTGTCCCGTGTATCAATCAATATGTATCGTGTGTGTGTGTGTGTGTGTGTGTGTGTGTGTGTGTGTGTGTGTGTGTGTGTGTGTGTGTATGTCGTATTATAGTTCGGTCCCCTGAGCTGTCAGATTACAATTCCTATCGTCCGTCGCCTCTGAGGTCGCCAGCTCGCGGACATGTCGTTTGTTAAGTAGCTATAATGTTATTGTAATACATTTACTAGCTCCTTTTATAAACCCTCCACTGTTCATCGCTCGGTAACCGCTCGCCTCACTCTATATTATCATACCGTCTGCCTAATTAGATTCACATGACCCTGCCGGTTCGAAGTGCGTATATTTTTATTAACCTACTTAGAGCGGTTATAATTTGGCAATAAAACTAGGCATTTCATCTCTCGACCAAATTAGTCGAATGGTATTATTAAGCAGATTCGCTCGTTTATGACCGAATTAATATTTATGAGAGACGACGGCCTCTCACCGCTCCCAATGGAAGTAAACAAATCCTTCCGAATTTCTAGTTTTAATGATATAATGAAACGCGTTTAATGGACCTTTGCTTGTTTCGGTGAATGTTCAAAAACTATGGAAATTGAGGTCGAGCTGTGTGCGGGTCGACTCAGCCTTGGAGGTCTCGGTGTGTTTACCGAAACGGAAGACGAAGCTCAGACACATTCAGATTTAAAAGGATTATGTTATAGGTAATAAATCCGCCGACTAAAGAACTCACTGTGAAGTAAATCACTGATCGTCATTAGTATGTACAGTATGTGGATGTGTTGTTACATTGTATAACGTACGGGTCGCGGTGAGCTCCGGCGCCTCACCTCTCTGTGTCTCTGATAACTGTTTTATTTTATTTATTGAATTCCTCCACGTCCCCCGACCTGCGGCTGATCGGTTGTGTGTAACGTACGGGATCATCTCAGTCATTACTTTTCTGTAACTCTTAGAAACATTGTCTGAACTCAACTCTTAATAATTGTTGTGTTCCTAAAACTTAATAATCATAAAGTATTGGTTATTGTTATGTACATATATTATAATCGTGATCGCTTTATCTTTCTGTAAGTAACCTTTCAGCAGCCGGACTATTTTAAATGGACTCGGTATGTGTATCACGGGCCGTAAAATTTAGATAAGCCCGGTACAAATACAAATGAGTTGACTTTTTTTTTAAGTTTTTGGACGATACAGACTACTTATTACTGTTTTAGACTGTAGGTACTGATCTAGTTGTACTGTTGCAGGCTGTATACGTAGAAGATAGTCGAGGAATATATGAAGATAATTATAATAATATATATATTGTCAGTGGAGGACAGGTCGACACATTCTAAGATTAAATGTTTAGGGAAAATAGTTTAGCTGCGGATGTTCTGAGAATGAGGATCGTTAAATTCCCCCAACTCATGTTATCGTAAGTAAGTTTTGCGTTTTTCAATAAATATTTTCCCCTCGTATCCGGCAAATACGCAGAAAGGAATTGATCTATCATAACATCAGTTCAATGGAGGCCCACAGACTCGTAAACTAGATTAGATATGGAGTGTGTGTGTGTGTGTGACCCACATACACACACACACACACGTCAACACCCGCTGATAACAAGATGAGGTCCAGTGAGAGGAGCCGCGAGGCGCGTACATCGATACTCCATCATTATAATGTATGTCAAATATATATCAAGCCGCAGATACACTGAACACATGTTACTCTTTGATTCATTTTCTCCGTTACTTCCCGTCTCCTTGTTCTACGTCACTCTACTACACTTACTTCACCTTCACTTAACATTATTATAATGAACGCTGTCCTCAAACACGTCCACACTAATTAACATTCAATTAATCAGTTAGTATTTCGTCAAGTGAACTTTATATATTTGTATAATGTTCCATCGAAGTCGCACTTGTCGACAATACGAATCAAAATGTTACAATTACTTAAATGAAAATGTATTTCATTTAATAATCTGAATAATATTAGATTATTTTGTACAGTTAAAAAGAGATCATTAAATAATTCCGTTACGATCAATATTATTGTTTACTGATTAATTATATATAGGTAGTAATGACTTTCTCACATATTACCTACAGATATTTAAGAATGTTACATATGAAGTGACTTAAAATATAAACAATACCTATATAATTAAATTAATATTGTTACTATTTCATTTCTAACATTAAGAAATAAAATTAATTTAAGAAACTTTTTAGTTTGAAATAATGTCAGCGTTACTTTAACAACTTTGGTTATTGTTATATAATACTTCTATTTTATATAATTTCCATGTATCGTGTGTTGTGTTACTATCATATATTAATATATTATATAGTATGTGTGGAGTCGCGTTCGAGCCGCCGTAGTGATCGAACGTCTTGGTGTGATATTGTGATTAGGGTGTGCCGTAGCGAGAGCCGCTTGCTAGTTGGTGTGATATTGTGATTAGGGTGTGCCGTATCGAGAGCCGCTTGCTAAACTGACTAACGTAACTTAACCTAATCTAACCTGGTTCTGTGTTCTGGTTGGGAGATTGGGAATGGGAGATAGGGAATATGATGGGGGGGGGCCTGCCCCGGGGGGGGGAAACGGGCAATTTCTTAGAGGTGTTTTCGGGTGTGGACGACTCGATGTCGTCTCGTCCGGAGTCGGCGTTAGGGGCCAAACGTCTCTTTTCGGAGATGTCTGGCTCCGATACCGAGACTGGGGTCGGGATGTCTCGAGGGTTGGAGCTGGTAGGGAGGCGAGGCCGAGGTAGACACCTGGCTAGAGCCAGGAAGTTCTTGCGCCAGCGGGAGGAGGAGGATTCGGAGGCTGCCTTCGACTCCTGTATGGAGAAAAAGTTGGCGAAGGAAAAGGGGAAAGGGAAAGGGAAAGAAAAGGAGGTCCCTCCGGAACTGGAGACGATGGGGGCGGAGGCAATCGTGGTTGAGGCGGAGAAAAGCCTCAACCTGATTAAGGATTTGGTGGGGAAGAGTACCAACCTTAAAGGGGGGTACTCTTCCAAAATTATGAAGGCCTCCGCCTTCTTGAGGGAGGTGCTCGACGTCCTGGTGACGCGCACAGAAGCGGATGAGACCCGCCGTCTTAGAGCTGACATCGGTCGGCTCGAAAGGGAAAATGCGGGTCTGAGGGAGGAAGTGCGCGCTCACCGGACGCAGTTCGAGGAGATGCGGAAGGAGAGGGCTTCCGAAATAAAGGCCGCATCTGAGGGCCCGATCGGCCGGGACCAGATACAAGTGCTGGAGTCCAGCATCGCTAGGTTGGTAGGCAACCTAGTCGATGGACGTCTTGCAGCGCTTGAGTCCCGGCTTCGTGGAGAAGAGGTTTCCCGCCCCCCCCTGGCGGGTGACAAGTCGGCCGTGGCTATAGCCGCTAAGAGGGCAATCCGCCAGGTGGCCCTCCAAAAAGGGGCCAAATCGGAGGAACCTTCACCGGCGCCATCGGCACCGGTCGTATTGTCCGGGGAGGACTTCCCTTCCCTCCCTGCGTCTTCCAAAGGGAAGACCAAAAGGTCCAAGGGAGGAAAGGAGGTAGCCTGGACCGCCTTCGGTCCTTCCACCAGCGGTGGAAAAGGTGGCGTAGTAGCAGTAGCTGGCGCCGGGGCCAGCGCGGCGGGGTGGACGGAGGTGGTCCGCCGCAAGGCCCCCAAGAAGAAGGAGGTGGTGTCGGTTCCAAAGAAACCGGCGCCACAGCAGAAGGAGGCGGGCCCTAAAGAGGGCCCCAAGAAGGTGATGCTCCCGCGCTCCCAAGCCGTAATCATCAAATTACGGCCTGAGGCAGCGGCCCGAGGGGCATCATATTTGTCGGTCCTCCTCAAAGCTGAGAAAGAGGTGGACCGAAAGGAGCTGGGGATAGGGCCCCTGAAGATCCGTGCTACGGCAACGGGGGCCCGGATCATCGAGGTGCCCGGCTCCACCAGTGCGGACAAAGCCGACGCTTTGGCCGAAAAACTGAAGTTCACACTGGCAGAGGAGGTGGAGGTTACGAGGCCCGTGAAATATTCTGACCTGAGGGTCACGGGCCTCAACGACGCGACAACCGCGGACCGGCTAATAGCCGCGGTCGCGCAGGAGGGGGGCTGCACCGAGGCCCAGGTCAGGGTGCGCAACGTGCGCCCTGGGCTTCGAGGCACAGGCTCTGCCCTGATAGAGGTGCCAGCTGTGGCGGCCAAAAAGCTGCTGCAGCTGGGAAATATATCGGTGGGGTGGAGCCAAGTGCGGCTCTCATACATGGAGGCACGACCCAAGCACTGCTTCAAGTGCTTGGGAATGGGGCACGTTGCGGCCGCATGCCCCAGTCCAAAAGACCGCAGCGGCCTGTGCTACCGCTGCGGCAAGGAGGGCCACAAGTCCGCCCAATGCACCGCGTCACCGCGCTGCGCTGTGTGTGCGGACGCGAGTAAGCCGGCGGACCATGTGATGGGGGGCCATTCGTGCCGTCCTCCATCCACCCGTGGGAAACTCCCCGACCAGCCTAAAAGGGCGGGGGTTTCGAGGCAGGCGTCAGGAGCTGAGATGTCCGAATAATGGCCGGACATCTCAGGTTCCTGCAGGCCAACGGCAACCACTGCGCCGGGGCTCAGGATCTTTTCCTGCAGTCCATGGCGGAGTGGGCCGTAGACGTGGCGGTCATAGCGGAGCCGTACTGTGTCCCTGCCCAACCTCATTGGGCGGGAGACGTGGACGGCTTAGTTGCGATCGTCACGCGGCCGGGAGCCGGGCCCCCCCTCGCCGTCAAAGCGAGGGGCCACGGGTATGTGGCGGCGGTTCGGGGGGAGGTTGCCATCGTCGGGGTATATTTCTCCCCGAATCGCGACCTGCCGGCCTTCGAGAGATTTCTCGACTCTCTCGGGCCGGTGGTAGGGCAGTTAGCGCCTCTTCAGGTGTTTGTGCTGGGGGACCTCAACGCCAAGTCCACGGCGTGGGGAAACCCCCGCACAACACCGAAAGGGAGGGAGCTGGAGGCATGGGCGCTGACTGCCGGACTGTCCCTTCTCAACTCGGGGACGGTCCAGACGTGCGTGCGACGGTTGGGAGGTTCAGTGGTGGACGTCTCGTTCGCCACTCCGACCATCGCACGCAGAGTGGAGGGATGGAGGGTTGAGGCAGGAGTGGAGACGCTTTCGGACCACCGTTACATACGGTTCGAAGTGTCTCCTACTCCTGCCGGTCGCCGGAGTCCAGTGTCGAATTCCTCGTCGCCTCGGGAGAGAAGTCGGTTCCCGCGTTGGGCGCTGTCAAAGCTCAACCGGGAACTGGCTAAAGAAGCGGCCGTCGTCGGTCGCTGGAGTCTCCCGGAGGGTGCGGAGTTAGGGGTGGATGAAGGGGCTAGCCGCTTTGGGGACGTTCTTCAAAACGTCTGCCGAGCGGCGATGCCCCCCCGTAGGACGTCCCCCTCCGCGGGGAGCGGTATACTGGTGGTCTGAGAATATCTCAGACCTCCGGGTCGCCTGCAACGGGGCCAGGAGGGCATACACCCGGAGTAGGCGACGCCGCCCCCAGGACGAGGAGCGAGATGGTCGGCTGTACAGGGTCTATGTGGAGAAGAAGTTGATCCTGCAGCAGGCCATCCGCCGGGCCAAGGAGGCAGCCTGGCTGGAGCTGGTGGAGGGTCTCGATCGAGACCCTTGGGGCCGACCGTACAAGCGGGCGCGGAACAAACTCTGCGCCCAGTCGGCCCCCATCACGGAGGTGCTCCAGCCGGCTGCTCTGAGGGGGATCGTCGGGGAACTCTTCCCCGACGCTCCAGCGGGATTTACTCCCCCCAGAATGGCCCGGCTGACGCTGGAAGAGGGCGACCGCGTTCCGCCCACCGTCACGGAGTCTGAAATGGAGGCGATTCTGGCTCGCCTCCAGAGTAAGAAGAGCGCACCGGGTCCGGACGGGGTGCACGGGAGAGTTCTCGCTCTCTCC